AAAGTGCAATGTGTTCATATTAAGTTGGTGTTCAAAATGTGAAGTGGCCCATATATCTGTAAGCTGTGCCGGAACTTAACATTTGAGGACTCTTCAAATGAATAAAATAAGCTCTTATAGAGAAACGGACGCACGCATGGATGAGCGAACGAATGGATGGATAGACGGAACGTCAGACGGACGGAAGGATAAATAGATGGGCAGATAGACGTATAAGCGATCGGACGGACAGATTGAATGACGTGCAGACCGAAATACGATTGGGCGGACGGAAGGCAAATATACAGACGGAAGGATGAACAGGCAAATATACAGTCGGATAGACGGACGGACAAATGAAAGGACGTACGAACGGATATACGATCGGAAATACGATCGGGCGGACAGTCGGATGCAAGGACGAACCGACATATGGAAAGACGGACGGACAGACAAATGGAAGGACAACGAACAAAAGGATGGCCGGATGGACGGATGAATATACGATTGTCAGGACAGACGGAAGGGCGTAAATACGGAATTACGTTCACACGGATACACCATCAGACGGTCAGATACGGTCTTATGGACAAATGAATGAACTGCGCTAGATCATTCTAAATGCTCTTTAGTAATTAATTGTGATGGTAATTTAAGCACGCTTAACATAATAGACTAATGCTTGAGTTCACAAACGAGTTTAACGCATTTTTTAGGAATTCACTTTTTGATCTGTGGATCCGTGTAGCCTTAGACACAATCTTGAAATCGGAATTGAAACAGATTCGATTGAAAACAATTTCAATAATTAAATGTTGGTATTGAATGTGTTTATGCAAGGTGAATTCCGATACGTCATGCTGATTCAAAACGGATTCAAAATTGTGGATGGGGGCTATGGAGCAGTGGCGAACAGCCGGCCACCCACTGGGGGCTGGCTATGAAAACTTTGGCAATTAAAAGCAACTCGTCGCTCATTTGCAACGCTTGGGCACTAGGAAAGGGCTGCGAACCCATTTCAAAGTGTGAAACAAAAATCAAGGCACAATTAATTGCAAGACGTTTGTTAAGACTCAAAAACGAAAAAACAAAAACATCAAATTGAATTTTTCTCAAAAAATTTGTTGTTTTTCCTCTTCTTCTGCTGCTTCTATTTGTTGTTGTTGTTTTTGTCTTGTTGCAAATTGAATTGCGAGTGCTACAAGTTGTAGACGACGATTTGTAAAAAATGCAAATGTGCGCCCAAAGTCGGGCTGCTGGCTGGCCGTCTGGCCATTAGGCGCAGTTGCCACCAACCGCGACCGCCACTTGCTGCCAGTTGCCGCCACTTGCTGCAGCCATCATTTGTTATTTGCTATTTGGTGGTAGCTTGCTAGTTCAACGGCCAAGCAAAACTGGCAACAGAGACTAACTTGGCTATTTGATTTTATGCACGCACACACAAGTGTCGCTCTACAGCTTATGTAATGTTTGGCATACCCTGTTTCAAAGATAGGGTATCCGCTATCATACTTGCAGCTAGAAAAGGTTTTGCTATCTATGACCCATTTTGACGGGTCACTTTATGATCTTTGATAAAGTTTTGAACATAAACTGATTTCTATAAGATTTATATGTGAACTTTGGTCTGGAGATGATCTTGTTTCTATCAGAATTCTATACGATTTTGCTTATATGTAAGGCTAATGATCTGAACTTTGATCTAGTTGCCTGCAAGTCTAGCAAGATTTGAATTGAACTTGATTTAACACATGTTTTTAGTGGTACGATCGGAGCTGCATTTCTATACTATACGATCCAACAGGAATTTATATAGCCAAGAGCTCTTAAGATTAATTCTATAGGAAAAAGTAAGATGATCAAATCGATACATCGAATCGATATATATCGATTTGTGACTATGTCTTTCAGGCAACTAAACGGCACTATATCTATCTATAGGGTATACCTAGAGTATGCCTAGAGCATACCTTGACAGCTCCTCCATCTTATATAGCTCGCTTCCAGCAGCTGCAGCCACTTTAATGCCTCGTCAGCGCCGTGGTGTCTGGCAGTCTGGGCTGTTTATTCAAGTTTTGTCTCTCGGCTGCTGCTGCTGCTGCTTCGTGCTGCCAATTCCAGTTGCCTTCTCAAAATTTGCCATTATCACCTATCATTGGCGCTTGGCGCAGGGATTTGTGTGTGCGCACCATAAAAAAAGGTGCCATGCAGATTGGCATCTTTGTAGCTGGCTGTTTGGTCTGGGCGCACCTTGAACCGGGAGGGGGTTGGGGCTGGGCCATATATTTTGTTGCCCCATATACACATACGCAGGCCAAGACACTTTATTAACACACACACACGCACGCTCACACACTCACACACTCACGTTGACAAATACAAGCTTAACTTTTGCCAATGTCCTTAACCATAAATTTGCTTTGGTAAATCCTCATTGTCGTTGTGTGATTTAAACTTTTGGAGCAGCATTGGCAGGCCAGCCAGCCAGCCGCTGGGCAAAGCCATGCCAAAGTGACAAGCCTCCAGCGTGTGGGACGGGGCAACGCTCCAAATGGATCCACGACAGCCGAAGAGCGGCTAAGAAAATTGAAATGAAGCCGCCTGCAGATGCCAGGACCCAGAGTCCCAGCGGAGACGCCAAATTTATGATAACGTGCGAAAATGTGAAAAACATGCGACTGAAGCTATGTGGCCATGGGGCTGACTGGCTGAGTGGCGCGAGGCTTGGTTTATGGACTGACCGACGGGCATGGGTTAATTGACTTTGGCTGCACACGCGACTTGGCGCTGCTTCAATTCTTGTGACCGGAAAATGCAAAGTGCTTCGAGGCAGGGCAGCTAGCCGGGAGCTAAGCGCAGCCTGGCCAGAGGCGGGTTGGCGGTTATGCCATGGAGCATTGCGACAGCCAAGCAGGGCCTCAGCAACCTCGGGGGCGACAAGTTCATTGAAATTGGCACAATGCTGAAGGCTCCACCTACTCGTTTTGGCATCCAGTTGAACAGATTGACAAACAAGCCGCAGCCAGCCAGGCAGGAACTACATTTGAGTGCAGCTTGTACGGCCGCTGTCTCAGTGTGCGTGTGTGTGTGTGTGTGTGTGTGTTAGTGTATGTCTTTGGCCTTACGTCTGCAAGTCCTTTTGTCCGGCTCTATCTCTGACTTTGCGTGTGCTGCTGCAATTTGCAGCAAGGATTTGTTGTTGCCTCAACTTTTAGCTGTTGTTGATTTTGATACGATATCGCAGCCAAGACCCCGGCGCCCTTACAATGTTAATGAAAAACACAGTCAGTCAGTGAGTGAGTCAGTTAGTCGGTCAGTCAGTCAGTTAGCTTGGTTTCTCGCTTCAACAATTGCAGCAACAACAACAAAATCCATGCAAATAAATCCAGCAGCTGCAACCACAGCCGCCCAACAGCAGCAGTTGCCCAACACTGGCTTGTCTTATGCTTTCGCTGCTGTTTGACTAACTGTTAAATAAATATATACACACACACTTATATATATATATATATATTTATATATATTTTACAAATTATTTGATGTCTGGTTAGCCAGCGCCTTTTACAAATTGGCCTTAGGCTGGATCCGATTTGGCAAAGCTACTTTAACTATTATGTTAACTCACATTTCCCTGCACAACACTGAAAGAAATTTCAGCCAAGTTTTCTTACATTAAATATTGATTGAAGACTTGTTTTACAACACTGCTCAGACTGGGCAGCGACTTGCCTGGCTTCCAGTTTGCTGCTTCAATATAATTGATTTATTGAACCTTTTCCAACACTACCTTTTCTGGCAGTGCTGTCTGGTTGAGCTATTTGAAAGTTATGAGACAGTAATTGATTCGCAAATTATTAATATATTACATTATATTAATAAAGTCTTTGCTCTCAAATTCAAGGCTCAACTGCGCTCCACTTGTGGTTAATTTCCCTATCAGATTGTGGCTTGCCCCGACTGCAAGTCATAAATCAAATATGCAAATTATTTGATTTGGCTTTAATGAGTTTTCACATGGTATTCATTCAGGCTGTCTCGACTTAGCAGCGAAGAAAACACACAGCTATCCCATGTCAAAGCGAAGACTGCAAATGTGGCTCTGCATGGACAGCTCGCAATGATATCCATTTGCAATAATATGCGAACGGAATCTGGCAAAAAGTATGAAATAAATCATGCCTTTGGCCAATTGCGTCAATTCAGCACATTCTGGCCCGCTAGTAGAGTGGGTACAATACAAAGTGGTGCGCCGGTGGGGCGGTGGTGCTGCGACGCACTTGCCGCTGCCAGCGGCGCTGTCTATAAATATTTAAATTTCAAGTTTGGCAAAAGTTTTTTGCATGCATTACCAGGCCAAAGATGTGGGGCGGGAGGGCGGTAGCTGGCGTGGCGTGGCGTGGCTGTTTGCCCGGCACTTTGTTGCGGCAACGGCTGTGCCGCGCGCTAGTCGCTCGTCCTGCACGGCTGTCTGGCAGCCGCCAGCTGCCCCCGCTCAGCAAACCTTTTTTCCCGACGACTGTAAAAGTTTTTTATTTTTTCATTTTATTTACTTTTTTTGGATTCTATTTTTTTTTTGGCAAACTTGCGAGTGAAATGTTTGATTTTCAATGATTCAATAAATTATTTATATATTTGCGTATGTCGCGCCACCTCCGCGTTGCCACGCCGGGGCAGCCAGTTAACTCGGCAGCCTGAGTTCGAGTCGCGTTGATCTTCAATTAGCCGCGCGCTGCATTAAAGAGTCAGGTTCGGTCGCGACTCTGCCACTTGCCACTTGGCTGGCTGCGTTCGTGCAACTTGGCAAGCGGCGCGTCGGGCACATTTAAAAGCGATAAATCACGGAGTTTTTGGCAGCCGCAGCGGCTGCTGGCGCTGCACTGCCAGCGCGCGATATCATTAACTCGCACAACTAACCGCTGCCACATACCGCAGACGCATTCTAATCTCATCTCCTATTGGTGTGCTCGCCTCCATCTCACTCTCACTCTCCCTCTCTCTCTCTCCTTCTCTTTCTCCAACAGCGATTGGCGCCTTTCAACCGGAGTTTGTGGAAAGCATTTCGAATGTTTCGGTTGCTGTCGGCCGCGACGCAACCTTCACCTGTCACGTGCGCCACTTGGGCGGCTATCGCGTAAGTATAACACACTCGCACCCCCCCTAATTAATGATAGCGCAGCAACAATGCCACAATGCCACCTGAAAGCCCAGCTATAACAATAATCAACCACAATCGCACACGTTTTACGAAGCACGCAGTATTTGGCAAATGTTATTTCTGCGGTTCTGTCTTTCCACAGGTGGGCTGGCTGAAGGCCGACACGAAAGCCATTCAGGCCATACACGAGAACGTCATTACGCACAATCCACGCGTCACGGTCAGCCACCTGGATCAGAACACCTGGAATCTGCACATCAAGGCCGTCTCCGAGGATGATCGAGGCGGCTATATGTGCCAGCTGAATACGGATCCAATGAAGAGTCAGGTGAGCGAATACCCTGTAATTAAAAAGAGCCGACATAGAAGGCAGCAGACAGAGAAGTTCTATCTCTCTCTGTATCTCTCTCTCTCTCTCTCTCTCTCTCTGAAATCTCGCAGTTGGCATACAAATTGAAGTTGAAGTTGCACTTCGGACATGCCCTTGGGGCACGTCGCCAGCTTTAATATAACCATCAAGTGCTACACAATTTCCAGCGAAATATAGTTCAAAGCTATGTGCGCTATATGTGAATATTGTCAATAGTATTTGAGCTGTTCTTAGCATAAGTAGCTGAACAAAGGTTACAGCCAATGAATAATGCTGCAGCCAAAAAGACAATGAAAATGTTTCTAAATATTTTTCATGCATGCTGCTGGCTCTGCTGCTGCTGCTGCTGCTGTTGAAAGCAATTTTCCAAAGTGTCCAGAAAAATTTCATGCAGCATTCGCAAGAGGGGAACAAACGTACAAAGAATGCAACGCACTCGTTGCCCCTTAACCCACACCCTAGCCCGCCTCACTCTCCTCTGCTGCCTACGAGCGGCTCCCCTTTGCCTGAAACGTCGAGCAAGTGAAAGAAAGCGCAGCAAATCGAAAGCGAAAACTATGGCAAACAAGGCGAAAGACACTCACACACAAGTGTGTGTGCGTGTGTGTGTGTGTGTGTGTGTTTGTGTCTGTGTGGACGCACGTACACTCATGTGTCCAGCCAAGTGAAGTTTATGGCGCCAATAAAATGTATTTCATGCTTCCTTAATTTTTATTTTTACTTTAACGCTTCTCGCAAGGACAACAGCAGCAGCAGTTGATAGAGCCAGGACATTGTGGAGCCAAGGGGAGAGGGGCGTGTCTGTAGGGCTGTGCTTGCTGCAACAGTGAGAGAGCTGCACACGCAACCGTAGCCCAATTGTCTTCTACTATATTTTCTTTTCGTTTCGTTTCGTTTCGTTTTGCTTTGTTTTCTATTGCCATTGCGTTAAGAGTTCTTGCCTCCTGTCACAGTCCTAAACTATTTAGCGTCATTTCATTTGCTACGTTATGTATGTGTGTGTGTGTGTGTGTGTGTGTGCGTTGGGTATATTCCTATCTCAGGGCCCCCATTCGACACATAAAAACATTTGCTGCTTTATGGCCGCCTGCATAATCAGCAAATTTTCGCTGAGTGTATAGTAAATTTAGCCAAACGGCAAGCCTCCTGCCTCGAGTCTTTCGCCATTTACTGTTGATTGTTTTATTGTTGCTGCGCCGTTGTTTATTTTGCTTATTTTCAACGTGTAATTTTTCATATTGAAATTTTGGTTTTCAGCATTGACTTTTATTTATCTCCTGTTTCGGACATGTTTTCAATTGCCGTTCAATTATAGAGATTGCCATAACAAGTTCACGTGTTTATTTCTAGATTGGCTTCCTGGATGTTGTTATACCGCCGGACTTCATCAGCGAGGACACGTCGTCCGATGTAATTGTGCCCGAAGGCAGTTCCGTGCGCTTAACATGTCGGTGAGTGTAAACGATGCTGGATAACTGTCAAAAGCCCATTAATTGACCTCAGCTTAAATTTAATTGGCAGTTAAAGCGAAAAATAATTTCTATTGTGTTAGGCAAACTTAAAATGAAAATTGCCGAAAGTTATGAATATGATGACTTCAAATATTTCCCTTGATAGCCAGTTAAATTTAATTGGAGCCTCTTACTTGAGCGGATGATAGCAAATGAAAAATATTTTGAAAATTTAAATAAGAATTGGCACTAATGAGAAATCGCTGAAAATAGCGTGACATCAGCTTTAACTTGACTTCAACTTGAAGCTCAAATTAACTAAGGTCTATTCAAGCATTTACATACAGTTAACTTTTTTGTTGCTTGAAATTATTTATTCATTCCATTAATGCAGGCTCAAGAATGCATTTAGTTTATTGCTCATTAATTGACAGCAGGTTAAATTTAACTCTCGGTTAAGCAGCTCTGAGTTAACAGACATGGCACAGGATGAAAGCACATGAAAATTTATTTTGCCTTTTGCTTTAACATTTGCAAGCAGGCCTAAGACAATAGATAAATACATATATATAAATATTTATTTAGTTATATATATATATTAGATATTTAATAAGTGTTAGACATATGTAGATTAATTTGTGTGGCAGAGTCCTTTGACTGGCTTCGGTTGTTAGCCAAGCCAAAGGCCAGCCAAATGGCTATCATCACCAAATACTCCGCATGCATCGCCATCGCCATCGTCTTATCATCATCATCATCATCATCGTCATCATCATTTAATAATGTCAGCAAATTAAGCGACACTTCATTTCTCTTGATTTGGGTCGGCGCTCAGCATATGCCCTAGAGCCACAAACTGGAGTATATTAGCTTGTCATATACATATGGCTCCGTTTACATGTATTTATATATATATATATATATATATATAAATATATATATATATATATATATGTATATTTTAGTATATTAATTATAATATTATATTTATATATCTTTTGGCTAACTAAAGTTCGGCCGTCTGCGCGCTTCATTCCTCTGTCATTTATAGGGTATCTCAAGGCTGAGCATTCGCTGTGCCAGCGGCGCGCTTAGCTCATGTTAGTTTCAGCGGTTTTTCCTTTTAGCTAACTGCGACAACGACTCGACTCGACTCGACTCGATGCGACGCGACGCGACGCATTTGGTCGCCGTTGATTTATGAACTTGACCACGGCCACGAAGTAATTTTAACGATTTAACCGCAGGATGATAGAACCAGAGCGATAAACGTACTCCTCTATTAATGTATGTCTGTGTGTGTATGTGTGTGTGCCTGTCTGGCTGTGTATGTGGAAAGCTATTAGAGACATCGTCTGTAATTTTTTTCATTTTAATACCACTTAGGGCAAGACCCATAAAACGAATTTAACTTTAAGCAGGCGACAGGCAAACAACAAAAACAAACATCTCAAATGCCTGCTGCTGAAAAGTTGACCAGATGTGCAGATTATTAAAGCACTCTATATATATATATATATATTTTTTATAATTGCTGTTGCCTTGTTGATATTAAACCCCAACTCTGCCAGTTATCTGAGCTATTTGCCTACATAGTCCATATAGATTATAATGAATATACAAACAGCTGCCTATTGACATGATGTATATGATTAATCTGATCTAGTTATGTAGGTTAAGTTCTTATTAAGTAATGCAATTTCTATTGAACTTCACTTGAATGCATTGTGGAGAGTGCAAGGCATACTGAACATAAATATATATATATATATATATATATATATACAGAAACATATATTTATCAAATATATATATATATATATATATATATGTGTGTCTAATACAGTCGTAATACAGCTCTCTACACATGTAATTAGAGCTTCATTTAATAGGATTTAACAGGAATATTATGATAAGATATTACTATAGCAACAAAGTTCGAAGGCAAAAGCCGTCATTACTATTACAGCAATCATGTATACATATATATATATACATATTTCTATATGCATAGAATGTGAAGCGAGGAATACAATGATCACCTACGTATGTGTATTTAGAGAGTGTGTCTTAGTCTATTGTTGGCTATGCAGTTGTTTTCATGAATAAACATATTACAAGAAACAACACACACATGCACACATGCACACACACATGTACACACACACATACATATGCAGCACAAACAATCAGCTTGGCAGGCGTTCAGTCTTAGCCAAGTTAGCTGCTAAGGAACTGGTGCTGCTGCTGCTGCTGATGCTGTGGCTGACTGGTAGCCAGGCGGTCTCCATTGTGTTTGCTTTGGTCTTGCACTCGGGACAAACTCTCAAATGTCTTAGCCTGTCTGTGTGCTTCAGCCGCTCGCCGCACGCCGCCCAATGCCTCGCCGTGTGCGTAAGACTTTCTTTTGCTTAGCTATTTTGCATCTGTTTGCGGCACCATAAAAATTTACCACACCCGTGTCTGGTGCGCTGTTAAACTGCTGCCTCAATGCATGGACGTCCCGGCCCGCCTGCCTTCGCCCGCTCCATCTGCTGCCCCATTCACAATCTGAGCCACAGACGGCGACTGCTGGCCGAAAGCGTTGCGTTACGTTGCGTTGCATTGCCTTGTCTACATTACAAGAAGTTTGCGCTTTGGGCCAACACACAATGGCCACTGCTGCACATTAAATTGAATAGACCAAAAATCTCAGCTCAACTGGCGCACAAATTTCCATTGGCATTTTAAGGGCAGCCAAAAGTTGCGCCGACTTTAAGTGTGATTTCCTATTAATGCAGCAAAAAGTGTTTGCCCTTAATGAAAATTAATGTTAAACAATTGTCAGTTGTGCTGCATAGAAGTTTAACTGAATGTCAGCTGGGCTTCTCTCTGAATAGGTGTCCATGATTGAGGCACTCAGCTTAGCTATCTAATCTATTGAGCTGCCCAAGTTGTAAGTGTTTAGTTTGAAGTCATTTAATTACGGAAATAATTGATGAATATTCTGCAATTGTTAGGCCAATAAGTATGCTTATAAGTTCATGTTAAGTTGACTTAGTGACTTAATTTGTATCTGAATAGAATTTGTCAGACAAAATAGCTTCATCAACTCAACAGACTCGACGATGACTCGCAAATGAAGCTTTCTGAAACATTTAAAAAATGGTTAGATAGCCAAGCTGTTGGATTATCAGAAATTTTGACTGTCTTTAGAGAAGAAGAGCAATGTTTTCCACGATTTTACAGATCTTGAAGTGACTCAGAAAATATTTAGAAATTGTTTTAGCTGCAGTAGCAAAGTTTTCTCAGGTATTTAAATATTTATTCAGCTTATTGAGGAGTCGTAGAGATTGGGATTGAGAATGAAGATATGAGAGGATTCTCAGGCGAGGGGTACGAGGGTACAGTTGATGGCAAGGTTATGGTTGTGTGTCTGTCTAGTCGTTCCATGTGAGCTTTGCTTGGCCTGGGCATCTCTCGATGAGCTTAAAGAGCGCCGCCCGCTTCGTGGATTTTCTAATTTAAGTGGAGCAGATGTGGGTTAATGATCGTTATAAGCGCTCAATTTTGAATGACTCATAGCTTGAGTGCGAGCCAACTCAATTCAATCGAAATCCATTAATTTTGTATTATATAAAGTTGATTCATTTTCAAGGCGAGACGAGGCTTAGCACTTTTTGTCTAGCACAGCTTTAAGTGCATATATATATATATATATATATATATATATCTATTAATATAAATTCTATCTATTTAATATAAATTTATAATTTCTTACAAATTTCCTTAATGCAGCGCACGCGGCTACCCGGAGCCCATTGTGAACTGGCGCCGTGAGGATGGCAGCGAAATTGTGCTCAAGGACAATGCCGGCACCAAGACCTTGGGTACGTAAATGATGCAACTCTGTGGCCAGCTGAGTGCTCCACATAAAACATACATATAAATAAATATATTTAGATCTATATGAATAAATAAATATATGCACTTATCCGTTTAATCCCGCTGACAGTGTCCTCGTTCCGTGGCGAGGTGTTGAAGCTGACGAAAATCTCACGCAACGAGATGGGCTCCTATCTGTGCATTGCCTCCAATGGAGTGCCCCCATCGGTTTCCAAGCGCATCTCGCTTAGCATACACTGTAAGTAAATCAAATCCGCAGTCCACTTGCTGCTGGTTGCAACTGCCAGCGTGGCAGTGGGTGGCATTAATTAGAGAGAGTTGTGGTTGGTCAACTTTCTGTATACGATTTTTGTATTCCTTCTTTTTGTGCGTCCTTTTACACACACACACACACACATATCATTAGTCAGCTGTCGCCACAGCTCAGGCTGGCTTCGTCCGGGTCTCATCCTTTGAGCTGAACTCTCAGTTTTTGGCGCTAGCCATCGTCGTGGTGTTTATCTAGTTTAGTGTACTGACACCCCAGTGTGCCCCCAGCTTTAGCCACAGTTATCAACTACACACACACACACACACATACAGCGCCCTCAGCTATGCTGCGGAAAAAAAGGGCAAATTCAAAGCTGAAAATAGTAAGCAAAAGCAAAGAGAAAGAGCGAGAGAGAGGGAGAGGTTGAGTGAGAGCGAGAGAGAGAGTGGCAGGCAGCGGCTGGCTTTGGGGCAAGGTAGCGAACAGCTTGTGGCACGGTGCGGCGCTAACTCGATTGTCGTTGTTGTAATCCGTTTAAATCCAGTCACTGATACCGGGCATTACCTGATGCCTTGTGCATTGTGTTGCTGTTGTTGCTGTTGGGGCCACAGTTTTTTGTCAACCTGTCTGCAGCACGTGCGGCATGCTGTCCTAGTTGATGACGACGTCGACGACGCCGACGACGACGACGACGACAATGATGCTGGGTTGCAGCAACTGCTTGCTCCGTCGTCCTGTCGCCCAGTCGCCCAGCCGCCCAGCCGCTTGCCATGTGGCAGGTTCACTCAATCATCACGACATCAGCAGCAGCTCCACTGCGCTTGTTTGCCAACATTCGTTGGCAACGTGTGCAGAGCAATTCCTAGAGCTCGCCAGGCGCATGGCCATGTCCTTGCTGGCTGTTTGTTTTGGCTTGTCCTTTTGTCCGCTGCGGCAGAGAGACTACACTTGTCAGCTATATAGCTCGCTGGCAATGCGTTTTAGGTGGCAAAATCACGCTTTTTAACATTTTGACATTTTGTTAATGTGGCCTTCGAGTGCCTCTGGCCAGCAGCGAGTCCTGCTTAGCCATGCTCGTCAGGCTTTAAGAGACCAGCTGCTATCAGCATGTAGCCAGTTTGCCATTGGCATGCAGCTACACCTTCTCAAAGTTTTTGATCAACTTGGGCCACAACTAGCCCCAAAGCCTCCGCTCGAGTCTGCTTTATGGCAGTGCAAATGCTGGTTCGTCATCTTTAAGTGTGTGTGTGTTTCCTGTTGCAGGAACTTACTCACAATTTGTTTGGCAAATGTTGCGTCTGTCTGTCCAACTCTTTGCCTTGCCTGCCTTGCCTCTCTCCGCCGCTCTCGCGGGCTGAGTAAGTGAAAACAAAGTTTTCCCTCATCTGGCAAGCTATTTGCATGGTCTTTTTTCATCTGGCATCTTCAGAAAACTGCGCGCACTGCAGCCGCCTGATAAAGCTCGGTTTGGCACTGCGCTGCATGCCGCATGTGGCACAAGCCCCAGTACTGACAGCAACATCGACACTGACACCGACACCGACACCGGCAACGACAACGGCAACGGGACGGCCGCATATCCCTTTGCGTGTTTCCGCGCCATTTGCTGAAGTTTCCTGCCTTGTTAGGCACCTTCCTGCACGACTAATTAGGGACTTGGAATCGCTCGACTGCCTCTCGCAGGACGCGCAACAAACAATTAGGCCACAATTAGCAGACAGCTTCCATATGCCACAAAACTCTCACTCAGATTTATTTATATGATATATGCATGATAATATTACGACATCTACTTTATCCTTAGACGAGAATAAATATATCTAAGAGTCAAATGGTTACTCAGCGTAGTCTTACAGCTGCCCACAGTTGACTGTACTTTGCTTAACGTCGTTAGTTAGATCCTAAATTGAATTCAAGCGTCTGAATGCTTTGTTTTCTGATCAAGCCAGAGACTTGGATGTTGAAATATATACGAATGTGTATCAAATTTATATAAGAGCCAAGCGCATTGAGGTCTTGGCACTACTACGACTACGACAGAGTTTAACAAAGCTCAACATAGATTTGCAAGAGATTTAGATTTGTAAGACAATGCGTTCAGTTCCTCTCTGTCCCACTCTCTCTTTCTCTCTTTTCCTCACATGCTTCATTCGCTCTCACAGCGCCTCGGCTTGATCATGTTCGTAGTTCAAGCTTAGAACTTGGTAATTGTTAGCTACTGACAGCTCTCAATGGTTTTAAATTGACTATATTTTATGTATGTATATTGTATAAGTATAATAAAAAGTTTATGTATATATAGCATATATGTTATGTTATATAGTAGCGTACAGCTGATATAGCCATATGTTTGAGCGAGTATATCGTATAGAGTAATGTAACGTAATGTTCAAGTGAGTTACTGTGGACCTTCCCTGCAGAGTGATCCAAACTGATATAGATACGCCTTTAACTTTCAGTTTTGTGGTCGATAAGCTCAACAGCAAAGTTAGTCGATTATTACCCCAAAACTGAAAGGCAGAGACGTCTACTACATCAGAGCACTGTTAGACTTCTCTACGGAGAGACCTATAAATTATATGGCGCGTTCATTGGATCGTTGCAAATCGGAAAATATAACCCAGAGCCTTGTTCATAAAAATAGTAGTGCGACTAAGCAAGTGCTCATATTCTAAAACAAATTTTAGCGATAAAAATAATTAATATTAAGATTAACATATTTTTTTATTAAATAAGATGTTTTGCCAGAAACTTAGGAACATGTGCTTAAAACAAAGTACAAAATTTAGTTGTTCATAAAAATAGTAGTGGCTACTAAAATATGAAAAAAAAAAATTTTAAAATTAGTTTGCATTCATATACATATTATGTTTTACTTATATAGTTTGATCTCGACAACACTTTAAACGCGTATCAAGCAGTCGGCTATGCGCAGTTGAAAAATTGTTTAATAAAAAGCAATGCAAGCTCAGGAGAAAATTAAGTCAAGTCTAACTAGATGAAGCCATAGCAATTCCAAGCTCTCATTTATATTAATTTAAATATATATATACATAAAGCGTTTCAAAATAAATAAATGCAATGTTTCAGATAAAGCTATATATATATTTATATATATATAAAGTCGTCAAATTTGCTATACAAATTTACGAAATATTCAAAATTACCAAATGCTAAAGCTCTAAGTAATGCCAAGCAAATTAGAAACATAAATATAATTTTTATTCGGATCCAAGCCACGTCCACTGAAACACAAACGCAACAAAATTCGACGCCTTTAGCCAAAAAGTTTCGCTGCACACAACTTGGCCAAATCAAACAAGTTTTGATGCTCAATAACATTTTGCAACAGATTCTGCAGCATTTATTTGAGTTTGCTGCAAATATTTTTTTCTTTATATTTTTGATAAACTGAGATATTTTTATATAAATTGATTTTTTTTAAATATAATTTAAAGTTTGCATTGTTTAGATATTTTTGTTATCTCATATATGTGTTTTGCTTTTGATTTTGATTTGTTGTTGTTTTTGAAATCGAATGCAAATAATTGCAGCAAATCGCTAAAAATCACGTACGGCTAAAGAGTGCAGCAGATATTTGCCAGGCGAATGGATAGATGAAACGCACGGACAGTGGCATAAATTCTCAATTGCTACATATGTATAACCAGACAGAGGGAGAAGGAGCAGCAGCAGCAGCAGGAGTGTGTGGATGGATAATCATCGTATGCCCAAACGCTCGGGTCTCCATTTGCGCTGCCAATGAGCTGAAAAATACACGTCAATGGCTTTTGTGCTCGACTCTGTTACCTTTAACTCAAAGTTTCGCACAATGGCCCAAAATGTGATGAGGTGCACATCTGTGTGTGTGTGTGTGTGTGCTGTAATTGTAGCTACAGCTGCTGCTGTTGCTGTTGCTGCTGCGACGTCATTAGTGCATATTTGTGGCTTTGTTTGCCGCAACTGAGCCAGCAGGCAGCTGAGGCTTAGGCGCCGAGGGGAGCTGAGAGCCAAGGATTGCGGAGTGAGGAGCGAGTAGTGAGTTGGGCCAGCTGCAGGCACATGCACATGCTCGGAATAATCATGGCCAAATTGTAAATCGCAAGCGAAAGTGTTTGCCTGCCTCCTGCGCCTGGCTGCTGCTGGCTCTGCCTGTGCTGTGCCCCAATGCAATCTGCCAAAGTTGCACTACGTGTATCTATGAGCGCGTGTGTGTGTGTGCGTGTGTATGCAGATTGAAAATAGACGCAGTCAACCAGCACTCATGCATTGGTCAAGCCGGCAGGCAGGGACAGAGGTGGCTTGCCTCGTTGACTGCCTCTGAGTGCCAGTGACAGGGGAAATTTTTATACTTGAACGAAACTCAGCGTCTGTCCGGCTTCAGGCGGCAGTCATCAGACGCCACTGCAACGTGCGTGACTTAAATGTCAATTTTGTGTGCTAAACAGCGCTGCCACTCCAGGTTGCATTAATCACGGACAATGGGGCAAAAACTTTAAAGCGTCCACAAAGCACACATAAGCTCATTAATTGACTTCAAGCGGCACATGCAAAGCAAGCCACATAGAGCTAACATTGATTGCTATTAATCGTTTATGATAATGTTGTATTAAAGTTGTAGATAGTTTGCTTTAGCACACACCCACACACACACACACACACACACACTTGAACTTAGCTTTCGGTGTGGTTACAGTGTGTGAGCAAATAGACAGCTGATAGATAAGACATATGCACTCGGGCACGGAAATCAATTAAAATCTCTCGTACTTACAAAACTGTCCTAAGCTGTACACACACACACACACACACACACACACACGCAGGCGCAGACATGCACAGGTCATTGTTGCAAGCTGCTGTTGCACTGCAATCGACTATCAATGCACATGACTATAGAAATGTTACCTCACACACACACACACACTCAGATGTGTACACAATATCTGTTGGCTGGTTGTGGGGTTTGCCACGTTGCAAGCAACGGCCTGTGGCGGCTTTGGCAGTTTTACAAAACCACCAATTTTGGTTATAGCTCGGTGAGAGCTTCTGCTAGACATGGTGTGCGTGTGTGCGTGTGTGCGTGTGTGTGTTAGGGACTAGTGTACAGCACTTGGACTCTCTATATCTAGCCCACTAAGTGACAATAAACACGCACACGAATTGCAAAAGAGTTGCCATTTTACTCCAAAAGGGAGACGTGCACAGCATCTGCATTGCATTTTGATGACCGCACCGAGTTATCCCACATCCAATTGGCTTTCTATTCCCCTACGGTGGCATGTGTGTGTGTGTGTGTAATTCATTATGCAACGACTATTATTTAAAGTCGAGCGTCCATTGTTGTCATTTCTTATCAGTGCAGAGAACAAGTTAAGAATGTGGCAAATGTGAATGCCGAACAGAGTTCTTTTGGGGCATCGCACAGAAATCGATGTGGGTTCAATGGATGCCACAGACCGTGCATTAGACCAGACATAGCGAGTAACGAACTCGTTAGCTGTAGTCGTTAAGAGTGCAGCTAACTAACCGACGAGTAAACACGAAGCAACGAGTGTAGAGAGCCATAAGTAGCGAGTCCATTTACCAGTTAAAGTAGCGAGTGTCAATTCGCTGGTAAGTGCCCTTGCTGTACAGTAAATAGCGAGTAAGCAAGGGTATATAACGAGCTGTCTGACGAGTAAGCCCAGCTATATATACTCTTTAGCTAACGAGTTGAGACTAGTAAATCCTCAGTAAACAGCGAGTAAAATGAGCAAGTTTCTATGACCTACAGTTTCCAAAGCGACTAAGCTAGAAGCGAAGCAGCGAGTATGCCTACTCGTTAGTTAGTTAAGCCAAGCAACGAGTAAAGCTGCTTCCTTTCAGTGTTATGCAAAATACAACTTAATATAGGCTATAAAGGTAATCGATTCAATTCCTTATCTACAGCTAAGCATAATATAAGGAGTAGATAATGGAAGTCTGGCTTGTAAAGCCAGTTACATAATACGCAGCCATACATGACTATAGCTAGAAGTCACATCAGGTGTGTGTGTGTGTGCGACGTGGCGCCAGGGGAATGGATGCGTTTAAAAAATGGTTTTATAATGTGCTGCACTGTGCAGCTATAACAAACGAGTACATAACGACTTTTTCGCTCTCTCTCTCTATTTCATACTCTCTCTCACTCTATCGCTCTGTCTCTCTCTTCACCTATTGCAGTTCATCCCGTCATACAAGTGCCGAATCAATTAGTCGGAGCACCGCTTGGCACTGATGTTCAAATCGAGTGTCACGTTGAGGCCTCGCCCAAATCAATTAACTACTGGATTAAGGATACCGGTGAGTATATATATATATACATACATACATACATATGTGTGTGTGACTCTTGCCTGCATATGTGTCCCTCTGTCCGTCTCTCTCTTCATGTGCTGCTGTTGATAACTTTTTGGTCAACTTTTACATTTTATAGACAGTCGGTGGCATATGCACACATCCTTTTATAGCATGCATGTCAGTGTGTGCGTGTGTGTGTGTGTGCACTGTCATTAGTTGACTGTCAGATCGTCACGTCCAGTGAGCCCATTTGAACTTTAAGCCATAAACTAATCAAGCCAAAAAATCAAATTTAAAATCACTTACTGCAAGTCGCAAGTCACTCAAAGTGTCCGATTCGCAACTGGGCACTCGTAATTAGAGTTGGGCGCTATCTTGACACATGCTCGGCAGCAGCAGCAGCAGCAGCAGCTTGTTATAATGACTTTTATTGACAGACCGCAAAATCTATCGAGCTGGAACTTCTTCAACTGGAATGCTACGATTAGCAATTGCCAACAGGGTATTATGCAGTCAGCTATACCCGGCTGCAGCTTTGACATATTTTAAATTGCAATTCTGCTCTACTACTTAGGGCTGTGCGCTGTTAAATCAAAGGCTGACTGACTTAACAGTCACATTAGGCGCAGGATATACCGAGTGTATAGTGTGTGTGTCCATGTGTATGTGTCCATGTGTGTGTGTCCATGTGTGTGTGTGTATTTGCGAATACTCCAAGTGGCTTTAACAGTTGTTTTCTCAATCATTAAGCATCAAATGTAATGCAAGCACATAAATAGCGACAGGCGCCATCAAGGCTGAAGCCTCGTCGTATATTCTGTGCAAAGGACATTGTAAGAGACCCATCAAACACACACGTACACACACAGCCACACAGATCTGACTAGGTAAACTTATGTGCGGCTTCTCATTGTAGTCAATGATGCGTCTATCTAACTGCGTGTGTGTCTTGGTGTTAATGCTGCGGTTGTCTTGGCTAACGTCCGTATGCCAGCGGCTTATCGTCCGCATTATGCACATTGGCAGCAGCTCCTGCTGCCTGCTCCTCGTGGCATAAATCATATGCAATCCATTGATTTTTGTTAGGGCGCTTTAATATCGGCAATGAATTTATTTATAATTGACTTTGCTATTCAGTGAAGCGTCGCGCAACTGCATTCGCGACCGCAAACTCAACAAATTTATCTTTAATTTGGTATATGCCTACATGCATGTATATATATATCTATATATATGTGGCTATATGCGTGAATACTTCATATAGCTAAATTAACACCAATTTGAGGCACTTTTGATATCGATTTTCGTGTAATTAATTCAATTCAATTACACTTCCTTTGAGGCATAGCTTTGTGCGCTGCTTGAAACGGCACAGTTAAGAAATGCTTGGCTATACGACAGCATTCCACGTCAGTTTGAGCAGTGAGAATCGCAGAGAAGGGCGATGGTCGCAAAAGGCAAAGGAGTGTGAGTCAGCTGTAGCTACAAGTTGGAAAAAGATGTGAAAGGAAACGAGAGAGAGAGAGGAAGGAATGGATGAAATTAAAGAAGCGAGAGAGGGAGAGAGAGAGAGAGACAGAGAGAGAGAGAGAGACAGAGAAAGAGAGAGAGAGATATAGAGAGAGAGGACAGAAAGATGGACAAGGTGAAAGACAGAAAGAGAGACGGACCGGGAGACAGAGAGAGCGACAGACAGACAGAGAGACAGAAAGAGAGAGAGAGAGATATATTAGGGGAGAACATAACAGAAGGTGGGATACAGATATAACAGGAGAGAAATACAGAGAGAGAGGAGAAAGTGGGAACGATAAAGAGAGAGGGCGAGAGAGACAGCAAGCCAAAAAGAGATCCCAGAAGAGAGCTAAAGAAAAGAAAGGATACAGATATAAAAGGAGAGAGAGAGAGAGAGAGAGTGGTAGTAGAAAAGAATAGAGCAAGGGAAACAGACAGATAGAAGCGGAGAAAGAAACAGAGACAGAGAGCAGACCATGCAATCAACTCTGGGCTTTAACTGGTTGCGAATCACAAGCTATTACACTTATGAGTCTTGTCGAGCGAGATAATTCTGGTATTCTAGGCAACACTGTACGCTGCCGCTTGGATTCAGTTTCGCCTCGCAAAAAAAGAGAATCCTTTTAGGCCTAGAAGCCCCACTTAACTGTCGCCTGTTCGCCTTTCACGCATTGCTGACAACTTTTATGGAGCCTTTGAGCATGCGAGTTCAGAGTTTATAACTTTTTCGAATGCTTTTGTTAATCAACAGGTGAAATGATTGTTTCGTCGAGCAAATACCATGTGCAGGAGCACTCGCAGTCGATGTACGAAACGAAAATGTCAATGATTGTGCGAAAATTTCAGAAGGACGACGTCGGCTCGTACCGCTGCATTGCGAAAAACTCACTGGGCGAAGTTGACAGCAGCATCCGGCTATACGGTAAGTGGGCCACCCACACAGGGGGCATATTTTATGGATAATAAACGCGACAAACACTCACACACTCACACACTCTCACACACACACACACAGGGGTGGGCTGGGGGCTGGTTGGACTAAAGGTATTTGCACCTTTGTTTCAATTACTACTGGTAGTAGAGTTACCGTTGCTGTTGCCGTTACCGTTACCGTTACCGTTACATTTCCGCCTTCTCGCCCACGACAGAAATCCCGGGACCGAATCGTAAAAATCCTTCAAATAGCAAAGGAAACGGAGGCGCTGGCAGCGCTGCCGGCAACGCCGCCGACACGGATGCCAATGACATTTTAAAACTGAAACAACAAGTCAAAGTCACCTACCAGCCGGAGGACGACGAGCTATATGGCTCGGCCGAGGATTTCGAGGATGGCGAATTCGCCGGGTCGCCGCCGTTATCGCCGCACCATTACTACACCAGCGGCAATAAGCCACCGACACATAAGCCCGGCGGCAGCGGTGGCGGCCATCAGCATCAGCACCACCATCACCCACAGCAGACATCAACGGGCGGCGGTGGCGCCAGCTCCATTGAGCTGGCATTCGGCAGTGGCCAACTGAGCGGCGCTGGCAACACACGTAAGCCGACCTATTACGGTGGCAGCGGCGTCGCTGGGGGCGTTGGTGGCGTCACGGGCAACACGGAAGTGCGCGGCCCCATGGACAACAACGAACGCAGCACCGCTGGCGCACCACATCGCGCCTTCAGCCCGGCCAGCTATCGGCTCCACTCGCCATATCGTCAATGGCTGTGGCTGTCCCACTGTCGACAGCCGCTCTTAATGGGTTTGTCCGGCTTAGTTGCGGCGCTCAGACTGTTATAATACATGGTGGCAGCAGTGCACTAGGTACACACGTACACACACCAACACACCAACACACCCACACACAAACACACTCAGACAGAGTAGGTTTTTTTTTTGAAGAAATTAAACATACAAAGCATAAAACAAAGTTTCTTGAATAAGGAAAAGATGCTTGCTTAGAGTAAGTGCATATCTACACACACACCTACACAGCTACACACACACACACGAGAACAGAAATATATATAAATATATATGTATATGTATATGTTGATGGGCCTTTTTCAGTTCGCATCGCTATGGCTCAATGACACTAGCTGATTATAGCAGCCCAATCAAAGATTCAATAATGAAAATCAAAATCTTACTCAAAAGGCATCAAGTGTTGCGTAATGCAGTGCAGTAAGCTTTAAGCTTACGCTAAGTTTTTTCTATTATTTTAAAAGCTGATTAAGTGCTGAAGAATATGCTTCGATTTTTTAATTTAATAATTATTTAAAATTAATAGAATTTCAATTGTAAAATCATTTTATGTTATTAATTTTTTTATAAATTTTGTATTTATAATCATTTTTCAAATTAAGTTTTTTATTTAATAATTATAATTACTTAAAATATTTTTAAAATATAATGCAAGTCTACCTATTGTAACTAATTTTAATTGCATTTAATTATTGTAATTAATGAATAACAAAATGTATAAAATTAATATTTATTGTTTTTAAGATTAATTATTTATTTTAATTTTGATTTCTGGTTTGTATTTAACTATACTACTTAAAAAAGGAAATTTTATTACTTAAAGTGTATTTGAATTTTAATTAAAGCTTATTTTAAACCAATTTTATTTAGTTAAAATTTAATAATTAATTGAATACATTTTTCAATTAATATATTAGCTTGTAAAACTTTTCTGATGTTGTCTTTTAATTAATTTAAACTTTCAACTTCTGCCGCTATACAACACTGAAATCTGTTCTATATTTAGCATAGCATTTGACTTCCGGCGTAAGTGCGATTTTCAGCTGGTGTCCTTGGGACTTTCTACACTGATCTCACACAGCAGCGCTAAGGTAGGCCATTTGTAATTTATATAAACGAAAGTTAGTTTTCAATGGAATTGGTTAAAACTAATTAAAAACTGTTTCAATAATAACTAAAAACAAAAGTTCTGTTACACTTTGCAACACTAAATAATTATTTATAAAAAAAAGAAAAACAAAAACAAATGTTTATAAAGCCATATAAACTCAATAAGGTGCGCTATCTGTATACTTGCATATATATATATAAATATATATATATATATATTATAATAATAATATATTCTAAGGGTAAGTGATTCGCAAATGAATTATATTTAAACTTAATATAAATATATTCATGTTTTGTGTGACCGGAAAAAGGCCTCTTATATAACTAACGACAGTTAAATAGTTACAAACTGTATTCAAGGTCTTGTTAATACTAGCTTAGAGTGTTTATAATGTATAATCATTTAAGACTTAAGATAGCAAGAGCGACTAAGCCCAAATAAATAGACATTTGCATTAAAAACAGTACGAAATGGAAAGCTTACCTAATTTATATTTATGGTTTTTTTAAATTGTTTTCACATAGATATAAAGTGTTATTTAAAATTAGTTTTATTACGCATCTCTGATTTATGTGGGCCGACAGTTAGTATAGCAAACCTTTTCCTTTGATCCGAACTCCAGATAAGCTCAAGTCATTAAAAAATCCATTAAATTCAACCCTTTATATTGCATTAAAAAAAAAGAGAGGAGGCGCCATAAAGTTAATTTCCTAATTCGATTTATATTTAAGCTCAAGGACATAGTTGACTAAAGCAAAAAAGTCAATTAATACGAAAATGTCAAACTTTTGATTTGTTTTACGTTTTTTCTCTTCTTTTTTTGTTTTTTTTTTTGCATTTTTTGATTGACATCGCATCGAGAACTTAAAGGTTAATGATGAATGTCCTTAATCTTTGTCTTTCTGTTTCGCACACATTTCCCCAAAAGAATTCTAACTTTGAGTTGGGGGCATTGGGGCTGGGCTTCGCGCAGTCGAGCATAATTTATGCAAATTAAATGTCATATTTCTGCAGCGCAGATACACGCACACACCCACACGCACACGCACATAGGGCTTCGCATATATTTCGTTGCATACAGTTGGTCCTGCTCACACTCAGGCGCGCACGCTAAGCTGTGACGCGCCCGTTTCGAATCTGCCGGCTGCAGCTCATTTTTCAGCGAAGCGGACAGCCCAAGCAACTAGTGTGTGTGTGAATGAATAAGAAGCAGACGAAGAATCTTTCATTATGCCTGTAAGCATTGCAGCAGACGTCGTGCACAAGAACAAAAACAAGAACAAGCTCCAGCACAAGCACAAGCCAAACGCACGCTTCAACAACTTGAGCCATTTACTATTCGCCCGTTTCGTTTGGCCCGTTTCGCCCGCTCGTCCGCTGGCCCGCTGCTTACCCGTTTGCTGAGCCGCTGCTGGCGCTGCTTTTGCATATGCAAAAGGTTAAAAACTTTACCAAAATGCAGTTGTTAGCGAACTGCCGGCTCTGTCTGGGGCAACATCTTTTTGGCAGTTTTTGTTGCGGCTACAACTTGCAGCATGATAAAGCCAAAGGCAACATAAGCATTGGCGACTGCTGCTTGCTTTCATTGAGCTGTCAGTCCGTTAGTTTTGTGTGCGTGCTGATGGCTGTCTGTGCATTTATGTGTGTGTGAGAGTTTGTGTGTGTGTATGTGGTGACTAAATTTGGTTTGATGAATTGCTTGCCTGCCAAGTAAACGAGACTCACACACACATGCAGACACTTTTTAATGAAATAAAAACTTTTTGGCAAAGTGAATTTTACTGTTTCGTTGAGAAGACGCTCGATGACAACACAACTTGCAACTAACCCAAGCCCCGCTCACTGTGCCACAGCTGTGTGTGTTATATCAGTAAGCAACAACAACAGCAACAAGCACGCGTACACTCAATTGTGTGAGTGTGTGTGTGTGAGTATTTGTGTGCTCACATACAAAACCGCCGAAAGCTGCCGCTGATGATGATAATAAGACGCTGACAACCGCAGCAACAACAGCAAAACATGCGACAATTTTGTGGAATCTGTTGCCGCCTTGATGGCTGAGAGAGGGCGGGGTGCGTACCATGGGTACATGGTCAGGGTGGGGCGTACATTGACACAAGTGTTTCAAATTACAAGCCGCTACGGCAATACCAATGCGTCGTCCATCAACAACTACTACATAGAACGTGCGACAACTGCCACGCCTCCCCGAAGTATGCAACACTTTTTGTTGCGGCTGCTGTTGCTGCTGCTGTCAGTCTGTTGTCTTGCTGTCTGCTGCCACTTTGCTGCTTGTAAAACGCGCGCGTCTTTTGTTATCTTTCTTGTGAGTGTGCGTGTGTGTTTGGGGCACAAAGCACAAATGTATGCCACATATGTGCGTGCGTGTGTGTGTGTGTATGTACTGCACTTGTACTTGTACTTGATGATTGTGCCTAGGCTGTTGCTTAAGTTGTTCCGGTTTGTAATGAAGTTTGCATGTGCTGAGCACTTGCTGTCATGTGTTCTCGCTCTCCCTGTCCCTCTCACACTCTCTCTATCTCTCTCACTCTCTTTCTTTGTGTTTGTGCGTTGTGAGAAAAGGCCGCTTAATTGCTCTATTTGGTACTTTTAAATTGTATTTTAATTTCAAATTTCCCCCGCCAGAGGGCGTGTGAGTGAATGCGAGCCGCATTGTCTTCAATATTGTGTCTTTTTTTAAGTATTTCCCTGTATGTATATGTATGTATTTGTGTACATGTATATGTTTTCTTTACTGTTTTCTTTCTTCTTTTTTTTGTTGTTAAATTACTGCGGTTTATTGTTTTATGCGCTCACAAACTTGTATCTATTTAAATTTTGTGTATGGTAACATGTTTATTTTATAACCTTGAGGCAGCAGCAGCAGCAGCAGCCGAGTGAATGACAGCCGCATAGGCCATGGGCGAGGGAGGTGGGTGGCTCGAGGCGGAGGTTTGGGGTACTTTGCGTTGGCAACAAGCGGCAAGCTTCATGTTTGGCGGAAGTTTAATTGAATGCGTCGCTTGCTGACACACAGCTACGAGTTGTGTTTAAGTTGTTTGGGTGTGTGCGAGTGTGTTGTGGCTGTGTTTGTCCGCTTGTTATGTGCAGCCAGTTAGCCGCATAACATTTGCCGCACAGTTCGCTAAAAAACAAATGGCAATCAAGTGAAATTGTAATACACACACAGAGAGCGAGGGAGAGGGAGAGGGAGAGGGAGGCATCTACTCAACCCGACGGCTGGCATTAAACATTTTTGTTTGCAAAATTCCACTCAAGTTTTTTTAATTTAATAATAAAAAATATACACACACACAATCTGCCACAAACACACTCACTCACACACACACACCTACCAAAAAGTTTTGTACCACTTGCAGCTGTAATCTTAACGTCAGCTTCTCAGTTGTAACAAGATGGAATATAAAAATTAAATAAAGACATACAAGATTACAAAATGCTCAAACAAAACTGAAATTCAATAACGGCTCCTACTGGTTGAAAGCAGAGGCAGTCTTGTGGCAAGTTACAAGTTGCTGTTCTTGTTGTTGTTGTTGTTGCACCTGCATAGAGCCAGGCAGACACATTTATTGCGTATTGACACTTGACACATAAGGTAGACATAAAATGACAGCCATATTGTATGTGCAACGTGCCACACGGCACCAACGCTGGACATACGACTGCCTCAATGCCTCAATTGATTTTAATTGAATTTTAATTTCATTTGTATTCGAATTTAGATGAAATATTTTGCATTTTCTCGCTCTGATTGAATTCAAATGCGTGCAAACATTTCTTTGCCACTTGCCACTTGCCACACGCACACCTACACACAAGCACATATTTATACATATATATACATATATATTTATTTAGTTCTTTACATCTTAGTGAATTTTAATTAAGAACTTCATTGTTT